TTTTTTTTAGAGAAAGAGTCTCACTTTATCACCCTTGGTAGAGTTCCATGGTGTCATAGCTCACAGCAACCTCCAACTCCTGGGCTTAGGTGATTTTCTTGCCTTAGCCTCCTGAGTAGCTAGGACTACAAGTGCCCACCATCGCACCCAGCTATTTTTTTTGTTGCAGTTTGGCTGGGGCTGGGTTTGACCCCATCACTCTCAGTATATGGGGCCAGTGCCCTACCCACTGAGCCAGAAAGCTGTTCTTGATGCCCCAGAAAGCTATTCTTGATGCCAAATTCCAGGTACCTTGAAAAATCAAATAAGGCACTGCCCCAAAAAGCTATTCTTGATGCCAAATTCCAGGTACCTTGAAAAATCAAATAAGACTTGTAAATGAAAATATACAAACTAACATTTTACATCATACTAGCGTAAAACTGGACACAACCCAAATGCACAGCAATAAGTGAAAAGATTAAGAAATTGTGGGGCTCGGTGCCTGTGGCTCAAGTGGCTAAGGCGCTAGCCACATACACCTAAGGTGGCGGGTTCGAATCCAGCCTGGGCCCACCAAACAACAATGCCGGCTGCAACAACAACAACAACAACAAAAGCTTGGCATTGTGGCAGGTGCCTGTGGTCCCGGCTACTTGGGAGGCTGAGGCAGGAGACACACTTGAGCCCAGGAGTTGGAGATTGCTGTGAGCTGTGATGGTACAGCACTCTACCCAGGGGGACAGCTTGAGGCTCTGTCTCAAAAAAAAAGAAATTGTGGTATGTCTGTATAATGGAATACTTTTCAGTTATATAAAAGTTTTTACAGGTATATATAATAATATGAAAGATTCTTACAGATTAATGCTGAGTGAAAGTATAAAAAAGCATTACCTGTACAATTATTCAAGTACAAAGAACACAGTTTCCTCTCTATTATTAAGATTTTTTTTAAAGGGGTTTGGTCAAGAAAACTATAATATTCACTGAATTTTTTTAAAAGTAAGGAAAGAGTGTGTAATACAGATGGAACAAGTCCTTTAGGTAGACTTGATAGTTGATAGACCTAAGGTAGATGTTTTCACTGATTGAAAGATACCACAAATGTTTTTCTTCATGATGTTTATTTATTTATTTACTTTTTGTTGTGGTTTTGGCTGGGGCCTGGTTTGAACCTGCCACCCTTGGTATATTTTTATTTGACTAAAATATTTTTGTGTCCTGTCCCATCTCTGACATGTAGGTATCTTAACAAATTATTTTCTGACAAGACTGGTGGGAATTTCCTTTGGGATTCTAAGAATAAGATCAGAGGTCTTAAAAAGGTGGAGTTTATACCCAAAATAGCCACAGACAGCCTAGAAATGCATGCTGAGGACCACAGTGTAGAATGACACCTGAGAAGAAATGCCCAGTATCACAGAGCTGCAGTGATTAGGGCATGAGACTCAAATGCATGATGCTTTCCTTCCTGCTCATCTTAAAAGACTAATGATTTTCTGATAACATTCTGGAAGCATTTTTATTCATGATTTTTACATACCTTACATTAGATTGTAATTTCTTTTTTTTGAGACAGAGCCTCCAGCTGTCCCCCTGGGTAGAGTGCCGTGGCATTACAGCTCACAGCAACCTCCAACCCCTGGGCTCAAGCGAGTCTCCTGCCTCTGCCTCCCAAGTAGCTGGGACCACAGGTGCCCGCCACAACGCCCGGCTATTTTTTTTTTTTTTTTTTTTTTTTTTGGTTGCAGCCGTCATTGTTGTTTGGCGGGCCCGGGCTGGGGATTCAAACCTGCCACCTTAGGTGTACGTGGCTGGCGCCTTAGCAGGTTGAGCTATAGGCGCCGAGCCTAGATTTTAATTTCTTAAGTCACAGCCTATCCAGAGCCATGAGCAGGTTGCAGGTACTCTCTTTAAAACAGTGATCACCATCTGTTTCTGGTTACAAAAACAAATTCGAAACACAAAAGCCAAACCAAAAAAACCTCTGTGGGCTAATTTATTTTCATTGAGTAAGTTATGGTCATTTTCAGATAACTTAAAAATCACATCATAGTACATAATAACTGCTGAGCTCTAGCCTGAATTAGTTTTTTATAATTCTACATTGCCTCTTTGCTACTTTTTTTTGGTCATTCTAGAAATTTCTAGAAGATTCTACATTTGCATTAGCTATGTTTATAATAGCTACATAGCTCTTCTCTGCGCTGTGCTACAGAGAAATTTTATGGTAAGATATATTATAAAATACAGTATAATTTTTCTCCTGTAAGAGAGTTGTAATGCAAACTAAGATTTTCAAAACTCTAAGAACATTAAAGTGACCCTTTTAACTTTGTTTAGCCTAGAATTTCCCGAGCTTATGTTCCTTGGAACTCTTTTTTTATGTAATGATTATTCTATATTGATTTGAATGTATAAACTATCATCTATAGTAAGTTACATTATTTTATGTGCCCCCAAATAGGAATGCACGGACAATATTCTCTGACTTGTAAGACTCAAAGTATATAGTTGAGAAAACACAAACTTTAGGAAATATAACTTTATACCATAAAATAAAATAGAGCTATAAGTTCTGGAAATAATATGTTGTAAAAATAATAATAATCTAGAAATAATAATATGTAAAATTAATATCTTTTAAACCCTTTTGCTCACTTTAGTTAGTAATTCTTTTTTTTTATTAAATCATAGCTGTGTACATTAATGCAATCATGGGGTACAATGTGCTGATTTTATATACAATCTGAAATGCTTTCATCAAACTGGTCAACATAGCCTTCACGACATCTTCTTAGTTATTGTGTTAAGACATTTATATTCTACACCTAGTAAATTTCACATGTACCCTTGTAAATGCACCTAGTTAGTAATTTCAATACTAGTTTACTGATTCTTTTATAGAATTCCAGAAACGGTAAAGGGCAGTCCCTTGTGTCGAGAGAAATGTATTTAATGTTGTGCTGCCATATAGCCACACCCACTTTCTTATCCTAGCTGTAACTTCACAGATCACAGTTGTAGGTATCTGTGACTTTCCAAGTGTGCACTGGGAGGCATAGAGGCCCTCTGTACTAGGGGAAGGCACTTCAGAGAAAACTCCAGGACCTACAAGAACCATATCACTCTATGCTCACTGATGATTGGTAATAAACTTCAGTACAGATAGTAACCCTTTAATTCACCTCATGATGTTTGCATGTGGGAATTCCAAACTAGACTTTTAACTACTTCAGGCAGAATCCATGTCTTCCATTTCTTTGTATCTTCCCACAGTGTCCACTTTGTATAAGAATAAGGTCGTTATAAGTGTCATTTATTAATAAGTGAACATTATTCTCCATACAGTAGCCAAATGGAAATATCTCTTCTTTGTAAAATTATATTGTATTATAACGGTTGCTAGCACATCATACATTCAGCTGCCTATTAGTAATGATTTTTGTTTGAGAAAATGAATGATATTATCTTATCTAGTGGTTAGATCAGAAAAGCCACATTAAATGTCAGTGCCATAAAATAAATCATTTTAATTATTAAGATACATAAATAGTTTATGATAGAAACAATAAAGTTATCTCAGCTCTGCACAAACATTGAATTTCCAAGTAATTTGTAAGGAATATATTCATCTTATTACATTCAACATAATGGCTTAACAATGATGATAATGTCTTCAGTATAATTTTCTTTTTATAGTCTATGAATCAATACAGTCTTACAGTAATTTATACTATTACAGTGCTTGGTAATTTTGAAGAAATGGAAAACAATTCTTCTAATTGTATGCAGAAAATTAAAATAAAATCCTTTCCATACCTTTTTATGCAAACAAAATACTTAATATTTTTCTGTAAAAATAAATTATGTACTTTACACTGAAATATTATTCTATTAAAATGTTTAGAAAATAGTTACATTCTCTGGTGGCAGTGTGCCCAAACATTCTTACTTGACATTCCGTCACGCATGATAAGATGAGGTGCAAGCTGTTCCCATGTGAGAAAAAGCAACTTATTTTCACAGGAAAGGAAATGATACGTGAAATAGAATTAATTTAAAAATCCAAGTGTCATATGACAGAGATACAAAAATTCACTAAGAAAATATATTCTTCAAGGCCTTTGAGGTGACACAACCTTTGACAATATTTATCAAAGGTAGTTGTAATCATGGTAACCTGTAACTTCCATCCAATTAGCATGCTTGTCGACTGCAGGATATAGCTCCCTCTCATAATTTAAAGTATAAACTTGGGTCAATTGACTGGAGCACAGCTGCTGAACCCATGACCCACCACTTTTCATAAAAGAGCAAGAAATAAACCTCCTTCTCTCTGAGCGTGGCATCCCAAAGCAGCACCTCGGGCCCTGAGCAGAGCAGTTCTCCACGTGGCCGCCAGGTGGCAGAGGTCTCCGGAGTGGCACTAGGTGAGGACAAGCCTGACCCTTAGGGCAGAGACTTCGGAGTCCAGTTTGCTGGCTCACCCAGGAAGCCACTGAAAGAACAGAACTGATCTGAGTTTAACCCAGCGGGAAATATTGGTGCTATCCACGAGTCACTCCTGAATGGCAATTTGGAAACGAGCCTGCTTTCCGCTGTTTCTTCTTCTTTATCTTCTTTTTCTTTGGCTTTTTCCCAGCCTTGCTTTTGCTTTGCTGCTTTTTCTTCTTTTCTTCTTTGTACCACGGCCCCCAGACTCCCCCGTTGAGCCGCGGGTTACTTCTGGGGTCTTTTGGGGGATACCTGACCGGCACTGCCGTTTTGTTGAACTGCGAGAGCCTCCGGAGGAGCTTCTTGACGATCCCGGGATACCTGTGAGACAGGTCCACCCTCTCGTAGGGGTCAGCCGTGATGTTGAAAAGCCACACGCTTTTGCCGGTGGACAGGGTGATGCGCTCGTTGTGCCACCGGGTGGGCCCCAGGTTGCTGAAGGACTGCGGGGGAACCCAGTCGCTGTAGCCGGGGTTTCCCGTGAGCAGTTTCCAGTGCTGCACCCTGATGGCCGACTGGATCGCCGTGTTCCAGATCCCGTAGCCTGCTGCCAAAGAGCCGTTCTTTGCCTTGGTGTAAATGGGATCAATGTTGTGCAAAATATCTACTCGGGGTGAACGAAGGCCTTCACTGATGGTCTCCCAGATGTCGTAGCCATCTAACTGAATATCCTCATCGATCTGCCCTTCCGCCAGGGAAATCAGAGTGGGGTACCAGTCGGTGATGTGCACGAGTTCCCTACACACCGTCCCCTTGTTTTTCAGAAGAGGGCTATGCACAAAGCCAATGGCCCGGATCCCCCCCTCCCAGTATGTTCCTTTGCTGCCTCTGAGGGGCCAGTTACTTCCTCCTGCTGCGGGCTGGCCACCGTTGTCTGAAGAGTAAATGATAATGCTGTTGTTGTAGAAACCATACGCCTTCAGAGCCAGGGTCACGTTGTGGATTGCTTCATCTAAGCAGGAAAGCATGGCTGCGTACCTCCGCCTGTTGATGTTGACAATGGATCGGTAGTGTTCAAAATACCTGACAGGGGCTTGCAGCGGCGAGTGGACCGCTTGGTAGGCAATATATAAAAATATAGGCTTTGTGGGGTTATGGGAAGCCAAGATTTGCTGCACTCTCTGAGTATACATCTGTGTGGAGTATATGCCATTGTCGTAGTCCCAGGCAGCATTGTCATTTTCGTACAAGTCATAGCCACACATCCCAGGACTGTCACATTTGTAGTGTGTATAGTAATCTCCACTTCCCAAAAGAGAACCAAAAAAGGTATCAAATCCTCTCTTGGTGGGCATACATTCTTTTCTGTAAAAACCCAGGTGCCATTTGCCAACCATATGCGTTGAATAGCCAACCTCCTTCAGCTTCTGAGGTAGGGTTGCATTGTCCAGAGGTAAACAGTTGGGTTGAGTAGGTCTTATGATAGAATGTTGAAGTCCCGTGTGTATCTGATATCTTGAAAAAAGAGTAAAACTTTTGTCAGGACAGAATAAAGAAGATACTCTACATAAAACAATGATTCCCAAATTAAATAATATTTAATTAAATATTAATTGTCTATGTCTATGTCATAGACATATGTCTATGTCTATAATTAAATAATTATTGTCTATGAAAAGAAACTTTACCCCAAATAGTACAGGACCAATTGAACATTTTTACTCTTAACTCAAAAGTCTTAACCTAATTAGCTTCATATTTAACATTTGAAATACATGTAAATCTAAATCAGTACATTTGAAACTAAAATTTCATCACTTTTCTCAAAGGCTTTTTAAAGTTCTTAAAAGAGAATCTGAATAAAATTTATTAATCTCTTAATCGTATAACAGAAAACTAACAGAATAAGAGAAGGATACATATTGATGGACCTGGGGTATTATTATCATTGTTTCTAGCCCAGGGGGCTCATATTAGCTCCTATTATATAATAGATTATACAGTAATCTGTTTTCAACCAATGTTTCAATACTTAGTCCCCAACTTGTTAGATTTCAGAAAAGAGAAAGAAAAGATTTTTGACTACACGATACATTATTGCTAAAAAGCCATTTTAGAGTAAATGTTTACAGTTTGTGCAGGAAATTAGTTCTTTTGTATGTTTTCTACAGTGTCTCCTTTAAAAAAATTAGTTACTTGTAGTCTAAGGAAACATAGTAACCTCTCCTGTTTATTATAATTAAATGAATGATAATATATGGCTTTTTAAAAAGCTAATCAAGGGCTTTTTTGCAGAAGCAATTATTATCACAAAAGTGTATGTATTTTCAGTTGGGTCAAGATATGTTTGTTATATAATTATGATATACTTTTAAAAGTAATTCATTCTATCATTGTTATATAAGTTCAAAAAGATTTTTTCATTACAAAAAATAGAAATACTAAGAAAATGAAGGTTGCAGAAAATTGACAAAGTAAATATGAAGATATTCGTGGAATCAAATTACAAAGAGGAGTACCAAAACCAAACATATTATCCATACCTTGGGCAAGCAGTTCTATTTACTTTTGAATATTCTAATGACAGTATAATGAAACTATGAGTTCTTTGAAGTATTAATTTCAGTCACACACTGATAGGTTTGTGATACCTGGTCGCTAAAACCAGGCAAAGCAGTTTTCCTGTGGACCCTGTCTACTCTGCTGATGATTTAGCTGTCAAAGTTTCACAATAATAATAGCTGTGGTAATTTAAAATGTAATCAACTCCCAAAGAAATAAGGATGTCATAAACATTGTAAGGACCAGATTCAGAAGACACTGTTATTGTTCTTGATAATTTTTGATCCAGTCCAGGGTCCAAAACATTCATTTGTGAAACAACCAATTTTGAACAAGTACCTGACAAGTTGACTATACCTATTTCCGTGAACTTAGAGGAAATTAAAATGGGATACATCTGTATAGATAAAAATTGGGGGAAGGAGTCGCAGGCATGGGTTATTAAGTAAATAATTATGCAAAAAATATACTCGGCCAGAATAGCCAGAATAGCAATTCATTGAAAAGCTTATTAATTTAAGTCTTTCCATTAAATTAGTCATTTTTTACCTAGTAGCAATGGCAGAACAAAAACAGGCTTATAAAAACATGAGAATGGAAATGATAGGAGAAAAACAAAAAAGAGAGAAGGAAAGAGAGCTTGTTGCTTTCAGAAGATGGTGTTGTGTCTGTAGATAAATAAGAGAGTTCAGAACTATTCATCAACTATATGGCTTCTACCGTCTCCATAAGTACAATGGTTTTCATATTGGAAAACTTAGAACCAATAACATACAGGTTTGGCAGCAGGTTACAATGGGAGAGATTTTTAGGGCAACTCCTGCTTAAATGAGTTTCAGCTTCTGGGACCAAAAGGAAGGAGTTTAGGTTAAAATTGGGGGCATAGGTTATGGGTATTAGTTTTGGAATCAGACAGACCTGGGTTTGAATCTGCTCCACTGCTTATTACCCGTGTGACCTTGGGTAGTACTTAATCCCTCTGATCCTCAGTTTCCTCATCTGTAAAATAGGGATAATAATACATGTTGGGTTGCTATGAGCATTAGAAGAGAGCACAGAACTAGTAAGGAGGGTACCTTTAATCAATGGTAGCTTTTACAATCATTATCCCAGATTGCTGAATCATCTGTCACTAACATTTGCACAAAACTATGTAATTTATAGACTTTCTTTCATGTGCATTATTATATTTAATTCTCACTACAATAGTGAGAAGTCAAATTTCTTATCTTCATTTTATAGATGGGAAATTCAAGAGGATGACAAGTTGTTTTCTCCCTGATACCCTCAACCTGCCCCACTAGGAAGTGAAACTGACTCTTGAACAAAAGGGCTAAGTCCAGTGCTCTCTGTTCCTTTAAAGAATTAATATTATTACTTTTTGAAAAATCAAGGAGCACAGGAAAGCTGCCAGAAGGCTTGAGAAATGAATCCGTTCTAACTTTCCAATTAAAGTAAGGAAGGATTTGTAAACCAGACAGTGAGACTTATGTTCATCCCAGGAAAATTTGGAATGACTTTTTTTTTTTTTTTTAAAGGAGGTGATTTGTGAGCATTTGAAAAAGAACAAATTAGATAGAGTTAAAAAGAAAAGTCCTGCCAAGTTCGCCTTATTCTCTCTCTTGTGTTAAAAAAGGATCAGCATTTGGGTAAATAGCTTAGAGATGATTTAGCATTTGAAGAAGCTGTCCATGATTCTTTTCTTATAAAATAATGGAAAATTAACTGCATGACAGCATGCTTAATGAGAGAGAAGAATGATAATTTAACACTTTAATGCCAGTTAATGTAATACAGAGAGTTTTCATTTACATACTATTCTCTGGTCCCCACAGCTCTGTGGAGCAGGTAGGGGCTGTTCTGTTTAACTGAAGGAAAAAAAGAAAAAAGCAACAACAACAAAGAAAAATAGCTCAAAACAACTTTCTTACCCAAGTTTTAAAGCTATAAGTCTTGAGGTTCTACACTGGGATTTAGACTTTTGCCTTTGTAGATTCTTCCATGATACACTCATAGCTAGATGAACAGTGAGTCTCACTTAAAATTTGGATTAATTTAATTTCATTAATCTTAACTATTTGTTACATTGCTCAGCTGAAATACATTACTGTGTGTATAATGTGGGGCAGGAATTAAATTCCTCTGTCCTACCACTTTTTCCAAAACTGAGATATCACCAAGTGGTGTGTAAAGAAAGGTCCTATAAACAGTCAGCGTGACTTGAAAGTACAAATTCTCTTAATACTGGGGTCAGATAAGGATGGAGACAATGCCCTGTCAATCACGTGGAAGACAGAGCTGGTTCTATTTATCTTTTCTTCCCATCAAGAATGCTAATAAATTATTTTGTTGTAAAAGAATATGGTTGAAATCTAGAGAAGAGCTGTTGGAGTCTTTGGCTTGGTAATGATTTCACTTGGCAGCAGCAATTAGCTTGAAGACCAATCAGTTGATTATTCAAAATATACTCCAGAATCCTGATGAAGCCCAAGAGAGTCCCTTCTTTGGCCTCAATTCATTAATCAATATTATTTATGACTTGAATAAAGAAACAGAAGAGAGGCTTATTATCTGGGTTGAATAGTTTTATAAGTAGCAGAATTAAGATTCAAAGTAACCTAAGTGACCTGAAATGTTATTTAAGAAAAGAAGATTGAATGTAGATTGAAAGTAAGGAAGGGCTCAAAGATCAAAGGAGATATATTAAAAGGATGTAGAAACCTGATTAAAGGGGCCAAGTCTGGGGCAATTTGAGCACCAAAATACAATGATAATAACAAATTATATTCCCCAAACACATTAGGAGACCCCGAATCCATACTGATTTAAAGAAATAATAAATGTTTAATGTAGAATGGGATATTGACATAGTCTTAATGTCTCTCCCCGTAAAGCACTTATTAATTATACAGAGAAAAGAGTCACTGTGTAAGGAGGAGTCTGACAGACACCGTCTTCATCAAGTGATCAACAATTCCCAGGTGATACTCCTGGTGCAAATATTCTGTTTTCCTTTTTTTTGAGACAGAGCCTCACTCTGTCATGCTGGCTAGAGCGCAGTGGCATCATGATAGTTCATTGCAACCTCAGACTCTTGTTCTTCAGTGATCTGGCTACTCGGCTTCTCAAGTAGCTGGGACTAGATGTGCACACCACCAAGCCTGGACAATATGTCAATTTTTTTTTTTGTAGAGATAGGGTCTCATTCTTACTTCAGTTGGTCTCGAAATCCTGAGCTCAAGTGATAAGCAATTCAAAATCTTGTAGAATGACATTGCACTGGTAGAATGTGGTAAGAAGAATACAAGATTGTTTCTGGGCTGTTCTAACCAAAGATGCTTACCCTGAACTTAATCCTAAATAAACATCAGGCCAACACAAACTGAGGAACATTCTACAAGTAAAAAAGTGAGGAGCTCTTTCAGTTTGAAAGAGACTGAAGAGGCATGACGATTAAATACAATCTGTGATTCTGATCTGGAATGGCCACAATAAAAGATATAATTGGAGAATGGGCAAAACTTAAATGGAATCTCAAGATTAAATAGGAATGTCAATGTCAATTTCCTGATTTTGATGATTGTTTTTTGGCTAATATAGGAAAACATCCTACATGAAATGTATGAATATGATATAAATATGTGAAATATATAAATCTATCTATGAATTGAATAAAAAGCAAAAGAGAAAACTGATATCTAAAACACTAATAAGATTTTACATTATGTAAAGTCAGTGTGCAAATTCTGACAAGTAATAATCTCAGTCTGTGTTAATTAGAACATATCTGGAAAATATTCAATATATAAGCATAGACTCCCAATACATGTATATTTACTTATTTGTAAATTACACAGATGCATATTGTATTAATTTAAAAATGTTATAAAACATACACAATATAGATATTAAAAATAATGAGTTAAAAACAGAATAAATTGAAGATCTAATAT